AAAGCCAACAACCGCAATCTCACCTACGTGTTACTTATCTCTCTTTTCCTTTGTTTCCTGTGTTCAATTCTGTTCATTGGACAGCCCAATAAGGTGACCTGTCTCCTCCGACAAATGACTTTTGGCATCATCTTCACTGTTGCTATTTCTTCTATTTTGGGCAAAACCATCACAGTCATTGTAGCATTCCTAGCATCAAAACCAGGAAGCCTATTCCACAAATGGGTGGGGCAAAAGTTGGCCTATTCTATTATCTGGTTTTGCTCCTTCATTCAACTAGGTATTTGTATTGGTTGGCTGTGTACTAATCCCCCATTCCCAGATTTAGACATGCAGACACTACATGGAGAAATCATAGTCGAATGTCATGAAGGCTCCATCATCATGTTTTACTGTGTCTTGGGCTACATGGGCCTCTTGGCTCTTTTCAGCTTCACTATGGCCTTCCTAGCCAGGAAGTTACCAGACAGTTTCAATGAAGCCAAATTCATTACTGTCAGCATGTTGGTTTTCTGCAGTGTTTGGTTGACCTTTGCCCCCACCTACCTGAGCACCAAAGGGAAGTACATGGTGGCTGTGGAGATCTTCTCTATCCTGTCTTCTGGTGCTGGTTTACTGGGATGCATCTTCATCCCCAAAATCTACATAATTATATGGAGACCAGAGCTCAACACTAGAGAGCATTTAGTACATAAGAAATAGAACAAGAACAAGACTGAATCACAAATGTGCTTTTTCGAAAGACAACTGGACTATTTTTTCCTCAGTTGTGATGGCGGGGGAAGATGGAAGGATAGGTACTGACAGTTGAGACTGGGTGGTGAAGGGATGGAAGGCAGTGGTGGGATTCAGCCAGTTTGGGCGAACTGGTTTTTAAATTGCTGGCTGGCTCTACTAGAGAATGCTAAAGAATGCTACTAGAGAATGCTAAAGACCAGAGGACATCAAGGAAATACAATCCTTCCATTTCCCCTTCCTCCATCCTTTCAGAACCTATCCTTCCATCAGTGGTGGGATTCAAACAATTTAACAACTGGTTCTCTGCACTAATGACTGACTGGGTGGGCGAGGCCATGGTGGGCATGGCCAGGGGACATGACAGACAGCACTAGGCCTCCTGCACCCCCATTGGCCTCCTGCACCCCCATGGGAACAAAAATGGGCTGCGGCAGGGGAGTGCCACCCCATGCCCTGTTTTGGGCCTGATAGGCCTCCCTGCAGCCACCTGGGAGCAAAAAGGAATTAGAAGGGGCGAGGCTCTCACAAGGGTTTATCTGTTCCCTCAGTGTCACCTGAATCACAGTGCAATTGGTTGTGGCATTTTGGCATGCTGCAAGAGTTGTGTTGTAGACTGGGAATAGGAGATGTCTTATCCCTTCCCCAATGTTGAGAGAGGACTGCTCAATATTAACATAAATGGTCTTTGTACCACTATTTCAAACCAATGATCCTGTTACGTACTGATGTGTCCCACCCCCTTTCTGTCAATAAGGCATGGCGTTAGTTGATTGGTCTATTGTGATGACTGCATTCAGGCAGGAGAATTGGCACATTCCTATTGGTTAATGTTCTGAAAGCTGGGAGTATAAAAGAGCTGTCAGAGCGTAAGTTCTTGTTCTTGCTATGGTTGTCGTTCCAAAATAAACCTGTTACATCAACACAGGTCTCCTCATTACCTCAGACACTAAACATATAATAGATCTTCTCTATCCAGAATGTGGACCTTGCTGTCTTTAAAAGTCAAAACAATTGAATATTTCTCCCCAAATTCAATTAGCACCAAATAGAAGATCTATTAGGAAATATATTATCCATACACCATATTTTTTGGAGCATAAAACACTCTGGATTATAAGGCGCAGCTTAGCTTTTGGGGAGGAAAATAATACGAAGAAAAATTCTGCCTCTGTCTATCAGCATCCATGGTGCTCAGCTGACATATGGTAACAAGGTCAGCCAATGAATAGGCATAGCAGCTAAGTCAGCCAATGAGGGCTATTTGGACTCTGAAATTTGCCATGTGAACAACAAGGAGACAGGAAGGAGCCTGGCTTAGCCGAAACTGCTTTTGCTAATGTATTGTATATTATTATTAGTTTGAATCCTGCTGAATCAGTTACCATGCTCTCTGAATGTGATTGCTGCTGCAAACGCTGACCATCCAAGTCAGCTTCAGTACTTATTGCCACCTGATCCAGCACAGCTGATTGGCAGGTGGATTGGACCCCCCCAATCAGCTGTTCCAGGCTGCAGAGATTGCCTCAAGTCGTCGCTGCCTCCATGCCTCACATTTTTGGCCTCTAGTGGGGGTGGGCAGGGCTACATTTGGTGTATAAGATGCACCCAAATTTCCACCCTCTTTTGGGGGGGGAAACAGTGCGTCTTATACTCTGAAAAATACGGTAGCTAATAATCTCAGGTTCAGGAAATNCTTATAGCAAATACCCTGTATATAAGTGATTGTAAAATGGAATGTGAAAATGAATAAAATATATTTTTTTTAAAAAAAGAAAGAAATAGAACAAGAACAAGACTGAATCTCAAATGTGCTTTTTCGAAAGACAACTGGACTGTTTTTTCCTCAGTTATGATGGCGGGGGAGGATGGAAGGATAGGTACTGACAGTTGAGACTGGATGGTGAAGGGATGGATGGCAGTGGTGGGATTCAGCCAGTTTGGGTGAACTGGTTTTTAAATTGCTGGCTGGCCTCGCCCCTTCTAATTTCTTTTTGCTCCCAGGTGGCTGCAGGGAGGCCTACCAGGCCCAAAACAGGGCATGGGGGGTGGCACTCCCCTGCCGCAACCCATTGTTGCTCCCAGGGGGGTGCAGGAGGCCAAGTGCTGTCTGCCATGCCCCCTGGCCATGCCCACAATGGCCTCGCCCACCCAGTCATTCATTAGGGCGAAGAACCAGTTGTTAAATTGTTTGAATCCCACCACTGATGGAAGGATAGGTTCTGAAAGGATGGAGGAAGGGGAGATGGAAGGATTGTATTTTCTTGCTGTCCTCTGGTCTTTAGCATTCTCTAGTAGAGCTCTCACAAGTGTTTATCTGTGCCCTCAGTGTCACCTGAATCAGCATGCAATTGGTTGTGGCATTTTGGCACTGCTGCAAGAGTTGTGTTGTAGACTGGGAATAGGTGATGTCTTATCCCTTCCCCAATGTTGAGAGAGGACTGGTCAATATTAACATAAATGGTCTTTGTACCACTATTTCAAACCAATGATCCTGTTACGTACTGACGTGTCCCGCCCCCTTTCTGTCAATAAGGCATGGCGTTAGTTGATTGGTCTATTCTGATGACTGCATTCAGGCGGGAGAATTGGCACGTTCCTATTGGTTAATGCTCTGAAAGCTGGGAGTATAAAAGAGCTGTCAGAGTGTAAGTTCTTGTTCTTGCTATGGTTGTTGTTCCAAAATAAACCTGTTACATCAACACAGGTCTCCTCATTACCTCAGACACTAAATATATAATAGATCCTCTCTATCCAGAATGTGGACCTTGCTGTCTTTAAAGGTCAAAACAATTGAATATTTCTCCCCAAACTCAATTAGCACCAAAGAGAAGATCTATTAGGAAATATATTATCCATACACCATATTTTTCGGAGCATAAAACACTCTGGATTATAAGACGCAGCTTAGCTTTTGGGGAGGAAAATAATAAGAAGAAAAATTCTGCCTCTGCCTATCAGCATCCATGGTGCTCAGCTGACACATGGTAACA